GAGGAGGAGAGGAGAGGAGAGGAGAGGAGAGGAGAGGAGAGGAGAGGAGAGAAGAGAAAAGTTTTGTAAGCCTGTAGCAATTTGCCTAGGATGCGTTCCTGGCCAACCCTGAGGATCCTGGACCTCCTCAGAAGTACCTGATTATCAGTTAGCCATCAGGGTGGGTAGAGTTCATGTCTCTGGGACTTGCTGTGCTCCCAGATACGGGTCATGGCTGAGTTTATGAAGTTTACACAAGCTAGACAGACTCTGCCTTTTGCGTGGGCAGGAACAACCTGACAGGCTGGGTTTACTCAGGTGAGCACGCTCTCTTTCTGTTTTCCAGCTCGCCCTTGCTTCGTGGGAGAGTGGAGTCCCTGGAGCGGCTGTGCCGGTCAGTGCCAGCCCACCACGCGTGTGCGCAGGCGTTCAGTGCAGCAGGAGCCGCTGAACGGAGGGGCACCCTGCCCACCCCTGGAAGAGAGAGCCGGCTGCCTGGAGTACTCCTCATCGCAGGGCCAGGACTGCGGGCACGCCTTTGGTACTGGTGTTTGCATGGCTGCTGCCTTTGTTGCTTTTGATGATTTTTTGTCACTTCCTGAAAGGTCATGTTCTGGGCAGGGAAAGTTCCATGAAGTGGAGGGAGTGGGATGGACCAGTCTGCCTGAAGTAGATAGGAAGCTCAGGAAATGCTTATTGAAGGGGGGACTCGCCAGCTGTACACATGCCTCTCTTTCCCTTGCTTCCCTGTGTGTTTTTGGTTTTCGTGTGTATGTGCGTGCGTGTGTGTGTGCGTGCATGCGTGTGCGTGTGCGTGTGCGTGTGCGTGTGCGTGTGCGTGTGCGTGTGCGTGTGCGTGTGTGTGTGTGTGTGTGTTTAAGGGGATGGTCCTTTCCATTTTGCATGGACTCAGTAATAAACCACACGAGTTTGCACCCAGCTGCCTGACCTTTTCTCCTCCTCCTGGGCACTGAACTCAGTAAGTACCACTGAGCACCACTCCAGGACTCACACGAATGCATACCGTTTTCAGCACATCAATCAAGCTGGTGACAGAGGACATCAGACAGAGTGATGATATTTCACACAGTATAGCAATCATCTAGCGGTGGTAACCTCTTCACTACCATTGTGATTTTCGGTTAAACAGAGCTTTTAACTTACACACTAACAAATATGAAAAATGGAAGCAAAGTCATACGTTTCTCAACAGAGATAAAATGATCTTTTGAAACATGGGCCTCTCCTCTCAGGATGACTGAACTGGGGCTGAAGTGGTCAGATTTGTGAGTCAGTTGGAAAGGTTGTTTGTCTGGGTGCAGTGGCAGGCACATGGACTCTGAGATACTCCAGGGCAGAAAGCAGAAAGATCATTAAGTCAAAGAGTTTGAGGCCACCTTGGACAACATAATGAGAGCTCATCTCAAAAGTGATAAAATAAAATAAAGAAAGAAAAGGAAAGGAAAGATGGATCTGGTGTGGAGTAGCTGGTGAAGGGCACTAGGAAGCCGGTTCACTAATGTACCAGGAACTACGTGAGTATCACAAAGAAATAAACAGAGGCCAGCACCAATGTGTTGATCTGGCCTGACTCCTGCGGGGCAACATGTTGACTTTCCTGGGTAGAAAAGTCCATATGTTTTTCATAAGAACCTGGAAAATTTTCCATCAACGTGATCTTTATCAAGCAATTTCATTCTTTGTTTTTTCCCCCCATATATAAGTGTTTATTTGCTGAGAGTCAACTTGGTGCCAGACATGGGGTTATGGTGGGGAGGAAAGTTGATGTGAGGCCCAAAGTCTCAGAGATTGCAATTTAGTGGGAAGGGACATAATCATCAGATGACTCTGGGAAATTAATCCTAGAAATTTATATCCGGGTAATTTACCCAACTGACACAAAGGAATCAGTCTCACCAGGAGCTATAAGTGGGAGTGATGTGGTCATTCCCTTTAGTCTCGAGGGACAGGGGTTTCCTTGGAGGTGAAACTAAGAAGTCCTGAGCTGCCCAGACGAGAGGCCAGCATGCATAAACCTGATGGTGAGTTCTAGGCAGTGAGAGGGGCTGATCAAGGCCGACACAGGACCACAAGGGAGAAATCTGAATGGGCAGTGCTTGAGCACAGTATGATGGGGAGTCCTCCCAGCACTGCTCACATTGTTCTGGAAGGGCGGGCCTGCGATCTAGAGGGGAGGAGGGCACAGTAACGCCCGAAGTAGAGGGACCGGGAGTGCTCTTGCTGACAGAACTCCACAACACGCTGAGGTGCCCCTGGACTAGGGAAGCATGAAGGGCAGTGGCAGCCCAGCGTCTACAACACAAGGCTCTGTCTCGTCAATGGCCAGAGGGTACTGGGTGTAATGCCACAGGTAGGCAAGCAAGCCATCCCTAAATGACTAAAACGCTGCTTGTTTGACTGTTTAAGCGGTGTGCATGCATGTGTTCAGGTGCACATGTATGCATGCTTGTGAAGGTCAAAGGTCAACCTCAGAGGTCATTCCCTAGATAGCTTTTTTTTTTTTTTTTTTGAGACAGGGCTTCTCTGTGTAGTTTTGTGCCTGTCTTGATCTCATTCTGTAGACCAGGCTGGCCTCTAACTCACAGATATCTGCCTGGCTCTGCCTCCCGAGTGCTGGGGTTAAGGCGTGCGCCACCACTGCCCAGCCCTAGATAGCTTTTTCTTTTTCTTTTTCTTTTTTTTTTTTTCAGTAAGATCTCTCACTGGCATGGAACTGACCAGTTAAATTAGGCTGGCTAGCGAGTGGCTTCAGGGGTCAACCTCTCTATGCTTCCCCAGTGCTGGGATCCCAAGTACAGCCCCTGCCCCCCATGTCTGGCTGTTTTTATGTGGCTTTGGGGGATCAACTCAAGTCCTCAAGCACTTCACTTACTGAGTTACCCCCCCCCCCAAGCCCTTGTTTTGAATGTGAGAAATTTTGGGGGTTGGTGCCGGCTTTTGAGCTAGAGAGGACTCTATATTTAGATTTTTGCCTTTTCCCAAAGAGCCTAGGAACGCTGCTGAGGTGTTCTCTATAGGGACCATCATGATCACATCTGTGATGGCGAAGGATCGTAGTAGAGGGCTTCAGTGGAGGCCTCTGATGGAGCAGCCACATTAAGCTCTGGGAGAAATCCTATGCAGTTCCAAAGGGACTGCTCGCAGAAGCAACCCTAGGGCACAGTTCCTGCTCAGTCCAGGCCCTCTGCAGAAACACAGCACAACGTGTCCCACAGGGTGGTTGCATTTGACTACTGGTCTTTGGTGGCTCTTAGGACCCAGAGTCCACTTAGCAGGAAAGGCATCTGCTATACCTAGTCATTTCTTCAACACCCAGGCTATTGCATACCACTTCCCAGTCCTGAGTCTCTTTAGGAAGACAGTGTGGCAGGAAAGTTAAGAAAAGTGGATGGAGCACAAGTGTTGAGCACCAGGAAGTATGATTATTGTATATCTAAGGGACAGTGTGCCTCCAGAAAAACCTGGCCCGTACTCAGACCCCTGGATAGTCCCTTTTCTGCCTGGAGATACCTGTTCCTTTGTCCAGCAGCTCCAGATGTTCCTCCTCTGACATCCTCATCCACATTGTCCCCAATCTCCCTTCTCACAGCTCCTGCCACGCACCCCAATAAGGATTTGATACAGCGGTCTTTTTCTCTTGCTTCTTGAAGCGCTAGTGGCCTTGGTTTAACACTTGTGTAGACTTTGTGTTTACACTTCCTTCTTAAACTCAAAAGTAACAACCTCATAGCTCGCAAAGAAGAGGGCAGTCTTCACATGTTTAGTCTTAACTTAGGTCCTCAAGGTTACCTTCCCCGCGGAGGGGGTATGAATTGTAGTGATGTCTCACAGGCTGCCTGGGGAGCATAAGCCCATTGAATATTCCACTGCAGTGCCTCCTAACATGAGATCCTGGACCAGGGCTATCTGGACCACTTAGACACTCCTTGGAAGTGTAAGTTTCTGGGGCCTGACCAAGACCTATGAGATCAGAATACCCAGGGTGGGTCCATAATTCCGTCTGAGTTGTAACAAACTCTTCTGGAGTGTCTAATGCTCATTAGAGTTTTAGAATATCCTCAGCATGGCCTCACACCTCTGACTACATCATGGCTGGCAAAAGTTTCCCAAGGGTATCTTCTTTTGTGATAATAGTGTGAACAAAAGGGAATTGTTTTCTCTACCAAAGAACTTTTCAGAACTAATGATGATCGAGACATATTCACTCTGCAAAGAGGGAGATAGAAAATGCAGGATTCCCCCACTTGGTTTAATTAAACAAATCTTCCCAACCCCAGAAGAAACGCAGTAAAATCACTAGTGTTCATGAAGTATCCATTAGAAGAACAACTCAGGACAAAAGATGGATGTGAAACAGTAATGTGAGCATCTAGCCTGGAGGATTCGTCAGGGTTCATTTCCCACCAGCTCCTGGTCATCCAGACTCTCTGAGCTTGTGTGGAGGTCCCAGCAGGGAAGGACAGCTGCTCTCACAGCCTTGAAGACTGACTGATCCTTCTCTATCAGGAGAGGTCCTCCTCTTCAGCTAGACACACAGCTAAAGAAAGGATGCCCATAGAGGGAGGAAGGGGACACATGCTTAGCAAGCCAGATCAACCAATCCTAGTGATCAATGGGGTGACACATGTCATAGCCAGATCTCTCTCACACATTCTCATTCATGTGGTTGTCTCTCATTCATTAAACACCAAGTACCTGCTGCATGCCGTGACTGTGGTGGGCTTTAGAGATTCAAACAAGTACATCACAGCTCATCACAACTGAGGCTGACGAGCACTGTGCTGGAAAGGTTCTCCAGCTGGGGTTCAATTTCTGGAGTCCACCCAGTAAAGGGAGAGAACCAGCTCTTGCCAGTTTTCCTCTAATCTCTACGTACACACTCTGGAATGCACCCATCACCACCCACAATAAATAAGTAACTAAATGCATATAAAAAGGTTGTCAGGTTGACGTGGGAGCATGGAAGGGAGCGCACCTCAACCTAAGTGCATTTGTCCTGCCACGTGGCCACATGGGTGCCTCTTACTACCTCCTCTACCACTGCCAGAGTTCACACTCAGGGAGCATGAGCCTTAGCTCATGGCAGAGTTATACCTCACTTTTGAGTGGCACAGATTTTTTTGTTTTGTTTTCATGAGACTGGATCATGATTATATAGCCCAGGCTGGCTTCAAACTCTCTATGTACCCGAGGATAACCTTGAACTTCTGATCCTCCTGTCCTTAACTCCCGAGTGTGGGGATCACAGACAGGCACCACCTACAGACATATACATGCCTACTTCACAGAGATTTCATAAACATTCTTGAGTCAGTCTTCATAGAAATCCTACGAGTGATCATCATATTCATTCTTACAGCTGCTGTAACAAGTCGCCAGAAACGTAGTGGCTTAATACGACATATTTTTTTTTCTTACAGTTCTGAGGGACAGAGTTCAGCACAGGTCTACTCAGATCGAAGCTAGTGGGTCAGAAAGGGCATATTCCTTTCTGAAGACTCTTTGGGAAAACCACTCTTGGCTTTTCGTGGATGACAGGAATTCCTGATATGTGGGAGCAGAAAGTGTAGCGGGTGTAGCCTCCAGTTACTGGGAAGTAGAAGTTATGACAACAGAGCTTGCATATTTAGCCAAGGGGAACTCTGAGCACGGGGGTGAAGGCAAGGCCTTGATTCTTCTCTCTGCTCATAGTAAAATGGGAGGAAAAAGAGATACTGGGGGAGAAGAAAGTTGTTAATCTCAATGGAATCAGGATTACAAATTGGGTAATTCTCAGTTTACCAAGATGGCAAATGGATGGTGAAATGAAGATCCTCGCTCTAAGAAAGCAGATTCTAGAGCAAAACCATTAGTGGTGTGGCTGTAAACTCACTTAGTACCTCAGAAAGTTAGGCTGCCACCCACTTAGTGACCTAAGCAATGCCAGTTTATTATCTTCCAGTTCTGTCGGTCAGGAATCTGACTCGGGTTTCGCTAGGCTACAGTTGAGATATCAGTGAGGCTGCCTTTCATTCCGGGACTCCAGGGGCCAGTTTGTACCATCACACATTCAGGCACCCATACCTTCTGGAGATTGGGGTTTAGATATCTTGAGGGTATGGGGATGTGTTACTCTCTTTTCCACAGGGAATAGGACAAGCTCGTTATCTTGTGCTTACACACAAAGACAATAGAGTTCTGGGAGGCAACAACTGATAGTGTGGGGTTACCAGAACTAACGCTTGGAGCCCATGGCTGCAAATCCTGTGCCGATTCCCCCCCCACACTGTCATTGTTAAAATTAGGATTAGAGAGTCTGATGACTAAGACAAAATATAAAAGCCCCACGAAGCCAGTGAATAAGATTACTCTTTTCTTAATGAGTTTTTTCTTGTTTGACTTAAGGTATATGATTATATTTTATCCTGAAAACAAATATAAAAACCCGAACTGTTGCACATTACTGAGGTTTATGTACATTTTCCTCCCCACAAAAGACCAATGTGCATTAATATAAACTGTGTTTCCAGGTAGGGGCTATTTGCCAAATTTCCCTTTTATTCTCCTCTGCACTGTGTGCACAGAGCAGCCTGCTTTTTTTTTTTTTGTGGCATGCCCTTGTGTCAGAGGGCTTATGAAATTCTCAAAGCAAATTTCATTTACTTTCATGTTCAAAGGAAATATGTGCAGTGCCGTGCTTTTTTAAAGGTGAAACTTGTTGTAAAAGTGAACAATAGTGGGTTCATAGGTTGCCAAAGAGTTGGCAAATGGTCTCTGAACAAAGACTATATTACATCTGAGTATTGCTGCCAGCAAGGGGAAAGGAAGGGGGAACCATCATTTATGGAGAGACTGTGTCCTGAGGCACCAGCCATGTATGCACTTCCACACAGAAGCAGAGGCGGGGCGGAAGGCAAAAATAACTTTTAAATTATTTACAACCCTCGAGATATGAACATTAAACTTGTGGGTTATTATTAAAGAGTGGCTTTGGTTCAAAGCGCTGCAGGTCATCTGGCTCCTGGGCTGGGTGCAGAAGACTCATGTGTGGGGGAAGAGGAACCTGGATCCAAACCCTGCAGCCGCTGGTGTGGGGGCAGGCAGGATCCCGAGGACTGGTTTGCTTTTAAGATGTGCCATAAGCCAGGGGTGTGGAGGCTCAGGCAAGAGGATTGGGAGTTCAAGACCAGCCTGGGCTACATAGCAAGACTCTGTCCCCAAGCAAACAGTAACACAGACTATCAACACAGAAACTAAATATGAGTAGCGGCTCCCCTGTTGTCCAGACTAGTCTTGAACCTCTGATCCTCATACATCTATCTCCTGAGTGATAGGATTATATGTTTATGAACCACTATGCATGTTTTTCCCCCCAGTGGTAGATACAGAATTCGGGACCTCATTCATGTTAAGAGAATGCTCTACTGAGCTACATTGGCATCCCCTGCACAGTAAGTCCTAAAAAACAGAAGGTGAAATCCAGGCATGGTGGCACGTGCTTATAACGCCTGTGTTAAGAAGATGAAGCCACATGGTCTCTAAAGATCAGTGGCCATAGTGAGCAGCCAGCCTCAACAGAGACCCTGTCTGATAAAACAAGGTGGACAGCTTCCAGGACTGACATCTGAAGTCCCCTGACTCCTCTGGCCTGAGCATACACAGGCACATGCTAGGCCTGGCTTCATCTATGAAAACTTAGTAGACCTTCCTATTTGGAAAGGTCAAAGCCTTGTGGGCTGATGCATCTGCATTTGCAGCTGCCGCCTGATTGCTGCTGCTGCTGCTGCTGCTGCTGCAGCCCCAGCCAGACTTGGAGCCAAGGGAGAGTCTGAGGAGTCAGGTAAAGATATGGGATTTGACCTCTGACCAATGCTTCCAAAACAACCAACTCCACTGGTTTTGTAGAAGGAACATGTCAATAAAGGGTTACTTCTTTTAAAATAAAAAGAAAGAGAGGGAGAGAGAAATAGAGGAAAAAAGGAAAAGAAAATCTGAAAAAGAATAAAGGCCTGCCATCTTGTGGCTGTCATGGGCCAGGAACATCAACATGTAGTGTGGAGCCTTTCTTTTCTTTTCTTTTTTTTTTCTTTCCTTTTTCTTCTTTTCTTTTCCTTTTAAACTAGTGCCCTCACACCAGTTTGCTCATGTTAATGATTTTATCATCTCAAAACATAACACCAGTTTGTATCTGCCCTTATCTAGAAATTTCTGAAGCAGAAGGCAGAGGGGGGCTGTTGAGCCACTCAGGCTCTGTCCATACCATCTGTAGATTCAGCCAAGCAGGACTGGAGATATTTTGGGAAAAATTGTCTGTACTGAACTTATACAGCTGTGTGTGTGTGTGTGTGTGTGTGTGTGTGTGTGTGTGTGTGTGTGTGTACATAGAAGGCAGGAGTTGATGTAGGGTATATTCCCTAGTCTGTCTCCACCTGAGTTTTGAGCCAGGGTCTCTCATTGAGCCTGGAGCTCATTGATTTAGCAGGACTGGCTGGCCAGAGAACCCAGGGATCTTTTTAATATGGTTGCTAGCATGGAGGCCCAGCTTCTTTCCTATGACATCTTTGTATGTTTGGTTTTTGTTTTGTTTTTTCGAGACAGGGTTTCTCTGTGTAACAGCCCTGGCTGTCCTGGACTCACTCTGTAGACCAGGATGGCTTCAAATTCACAGAGGTCAGCCTGCCTCTACTTCCCGAGTGTTGGGACTAAAGGTGTGTGCCACCACCACAAGGCTAAACCAGGACTTCTTAACTTTTTCTACTTGTGACTCCTTTTTACCTTCCAAATTTACCCTAATGAATAAGTACATAAAACAGGTAAATAAATAAAATGTTTACTGTCATAATGAAATTTATTTTAAAACAATTCTTTTTTTACATATAATTTTACCCCTCATTAAAGGTGACAGCAAATACACATACTAATGAGATAGATTGGGCATATTTATTTTTATGTAAAAAGCAGGTCCTGGTTGAATATTTAGTATACAGGACACAGAACATCTTTGACATTTTTCAGAGTTTGGTTGATACTTTGATTTTATAATCATCAATTTTGAGCACACTGCCTCACAAAAATATACAGTACAAAAAGGCAGAAGGATGTTTAGGGCCATTTCAGAAATTGTTGGAAATTTTGTCCTAATCCCAAGTCAAAATCACTGAATGACTTTATTTTTTTAAAGGAAAGTCAAGTCAGTAACTCAAACAGCAATTTTTAAATTCTAATACAACACTAGATGAAGATATACTGATTTAATGCTTCATGAAAACATCAAGGCCTTGTTTACCGTAGTCGAGTCATTGTATTTCAATAAGGGCAGAAAACTCTGCATCTACACTAAAGAACACTACAAACCCTAACACACCACAGCCTCAAAGCCGAGCCAGTGTTCCAGCCGGCATTTCCTGAGGTGATGGCCACACACAGGGCAAAGTGTACATATTCAGAATCCGGCTGGGGTGGAGTCACGCAATGTAACGCCAGAAGCAGCTCACATTCATTGTGCATCTGCACATCCAGAAACGTTTTACTCTTGCTCAGTTTTCACAACCTCCACATTCGGTCGTAGGGATTTAGGCGGGCAAAGCTACCGTGCTGTGGTTCCCAAGAGTCTTGGGGTCACCCGTATTTTCTTGTCTTGTTTCTTCTAGTCGTTCTCACTTTTTCCTGCTTGCTTTCTCTTCTTTCCCTTTTCTTTCTTTCATCTATCCTTGAACTTCATTTTCACTGCCTTTCCCTCTCTTCTCTTCTTTTTCTTTCCTTCTCTTTCTCATGCTGGAATATCCGTTACCACTTTCTTTCCCTTGCCCTCTCCCCATTTTTTTTTTTTTTAATTTCTGCCAGCTTTTTGTTTTGGTCCCTCTCCTTCCTTTACACTTTCATGCCTGGAGGTCGATGTGCTCAGCAGAGGCCTGTGGCTCCCCCTATACCCATCTAGATGCATATAAATACTGATTCCGTTTGCTTCAGAAGACGCTGTCACAGTCTCGCTTGATGCTGTGCCACTAAGATCTTTGGATTTGGAAACAGAGGCCTCAGACCGGCACAGAACCCAGTTTGGGAAGCCTTATGGAGTATTGGACTGCACAAATACAGTGTAATTCTCCCTTTTCTAGTCCCTGCATTCATAACTAGTTCTGCATTCAACAAGAAGAGAACAATACAAGCCGCATCTCCACAGTGGTCTACACACACCGAGGATGCTGGGTAATTTGTTGCTTTAAAATTACTGCTATGTTTTCTCTCCCTCCCTCCCCTCCCTCCCTCCCTCCCTCCCTC